AATATAAGCTTACTTACATTTTGGAGATACCTAAAAATCAAGTTCTAAAAAGTAGGTTAAGGAATATAAATAATCGCCATACTAGATCACATGAGACTGCATTTGAATCATCAGCCTTTTGAGTAGTTTGATTTTGTCTGACATTCAGATGCCCTTGTAGAGTTGTCAGCTGAGTTGTTTTAGCTAATGCAATCGTCCAGAGGAAGAYCAAGATTTACTATATAGAAAGAAAACTGGCAAATGCTTCCCAATACACAACGATCCTATCTATAAATCTATGCAGTAGTTACATATGATACTTCACTAAAAGGAAGAATATGACATGATGGATATAGCACGTGTTTTCCCAACAAACTTCACAAAAACTACAAAAAACAACATAATACTTTATAATATTTWASATGAAAGGATACAATAGGTTGCACCATAACTTTCTGGACCTTTTGCCCCTTATAAGCCATGATTTCTTCCTTCTTTTTGTCCCGAAAATGAGTTGAATTCTGTAGAATCAGATGGACGCCGGTCCTTTGATTTCAAAATGGCGGCGAAYAACCGCAGGGRGTTATGGGAAAACGTATCAMAACGTWAGTGAAGCCCGGTTTGCATTATGGGTAAGAAATTAGAATAAAATTTGTAAAAAATGTGATGGTATGATCTGTAAAAAGATTAMAAACATAAACTCAAAAATGTTTTGCTTGATATTGCTTTTTTGTAGTCTCTTTATATGATAATGTACACTTAACAATTGTAAAAATACCAGCAAGAAATATCAAATGCTCAAATCATATTTGCAAAAATATTAAAAATATTGATTGTGATATAGAAAAAATCTAAATATTTAATATTTCCTATTTTTCTTGTTGAATCAGTATTTAAAGAATTTTTTTATTTTAGGGATCCCTGTGGTTTATTACGCCTGCAGTACTATTTRTCTAGCGGTTAAACAATGTTTCCTTGACAACACYATCAAAACTGACGGCCATTTTGTTTTGAAAGTCGAACTCTCAAGACRTACGATAAACTCKTGCKATWTAGARTTACTTTAAACGAAATTATGGTACCAGAAGAAAAGCCAGAACCAACACCAGCTAAAGGAATATATGTGGAACGAACTTTAGCGATAATCAARCCCGATGCCGTCCATAAAACAGACGAAATCGAAGAGATAATTTTACAACATGGTTTTACAATATTACAAGTAAGATTCTATATTAAAGTTTAACTTAACTACAGTTTATGTTGATTTATGGTGGATTTTCCACTGTATTTAAGATTGTGTTCTAATTATATACGTCTTAATTTCTATGATCCTGTAGATATCTTTTATTTTATTACGTACATTTACAAATTCCAATTCAGTATCGTTAATCTAATTGATTTAGATCTCTTCGCTTCAAGTAACTTAAACTCTTTTATTTCTTTTTTCTTTCAGAAAAGGAGGGTTCATCTAACTCCTGAACAGACCAGTGATTTCTACGCTGAGCACTATGGAAAGATGTTCTTCCCCAGCCTTGTGGCCTACATGAGCAGTGGCCCAATCATGGTGTTAGTGCTGGCTAGAGAGAATGCTGTCCCCTTTTGGAAACAATTGATTGGTCCTACTAGCACACAAAAAGCTAGAGATCARGCACCTGAAAGGTACATTTTCATGTTTATCAGAGAACCCCTGATAAAATTATGAAATTTTTTTAATTAGTACAAAGTTGATAGAAAAATCTTTATGTTTTCATGTTCTTTTTCTTGCAGTTTGAGAGCTATTTATGGTTCTGATGGAACAAGAAATGCCTTGCACGGAAGTGATTCAATCACTAGTGCTGAAAGAGAGATTCATTTCTTTTTTGATGACTGTAAGTTGCTTTGAGAAAAGTATGAAATAAGTCAACAATTTTCAATCAACACCTTGACACTCATAAAACTGACTGCAATTCTTRCTCAGCTAAAACTTTTGTAAATGTTACATACTGCTATAGCTTACTGGTTTTCACATGCTATTTTTTTGTTCTTATTGAAGGTATTGTTGAACCTGTATCAACCGGTCAAGGAGCAAAAGACTATCTTAGCAGAACTGTTAACCCCACCCTACTCAAAGGACTTACAGAACTTTCTAAAATGAAACCACAAGAACCAATAGTAAGTTCTTTTAAGAAAAAAATTGTGTTTTTACAAAAAAAAAAAAAATGGTGTTTTTACAAGATATGTAATACAGAAGCATTGAGGACAACGAAGATGGCACAACTTTTGCCTACAACCATCACAATCAACATGGCTAAGTCATCCTTACAACAATGCAACAACTGTCCTAGGGCTATTAAGTAATTATTTCAGCCTATACAACAGTTGTAGCCATGATGTAAGGATGACTTAGACATATTGTATACGATGGTTGTAGGCAAAAGTTGKGCCATCTAAATCATCCTTCATATGTTTAGTCCCCTTCATTGTTCCCTGTTCCAATCTAAATAGGGGAATCTGAAAATAGTGTTTTCCTTCTTCGTTCTGAAGAGCTCTGAAATTTCATATGTGCCTTTCCCATCCTCCCACTCAATCCCATTTCATTTCCATTTCCCTCATTGTATAATTACATTTTCTTATAGCTTTGGCTGGCTGATTGGCTGGTTGCAAATAACCCCAACAAACCAAGAGTCTGTGATGATGACTACACAGTAGAGGAGCCTTAAAACTAATGATAAATTGTACATAGATATCTGACGTATTATTGTATTATATCATTTGTAATGTSACTAAAATATGGAATAAACTTTAAAATGTATTTTTGTCTTTGATGATTGTACCGTGYTTTGTTTTGCTCTGAGAAACCAGAGAGGTTTTGACACGTTACATTGATCAGAAAATCGTAATGGCTTTGCTATGCTCCGTTCAATAATGAGAGTGCATTGAAAATGATCAACAGAAATCTATCTTTTGAAGTCACGTTTACTAAGAAACGGAAAGCCTTTTTTTCAATAATAAAAAAGTGAAAGAGATCGAAAGAAGTGATGGGAAGAGCACGAGGAGTGGCAGAGTATTGTCATCGTTTCTCGTCTTTTCTCTTTACTTGCCATATAGTCAGCACTTGCAAAAGACAAGAATGATAGCATTTTCTTCTTACATATTTTGCAATGTACTTTATTAACAGAAGCATAATTCAAAAATGACACATCGATATTTTTGTAAATTAATTGATTGGCGTTACTTGATAGCTTTCCAGCTGCAATATGATTTAATAATAGATATGTAATATTTGATATGTATCGTTTATATTAGAATTTCACGTGATATATTAGATATAAAACACGTGTGCGTCATGCACCCACGTGAAATTCCTCCTCGGAGCTAAAAAAATCAATCAAATCTTTACAAGATTTTTGGCATAAAAACTTCAAGTGATAATTTACGATTTGATCCAATTAGTTTTGAGCCATCCTTGAATGTTTTACAAAAGTCCTCAAAGTCTTCCACGCTTTCTAGCTCATCAGAGCTTTCTGCCTCAGTCTCGTCCTCCTCGGCGTTTTTGTACTCAAAGTATGTCAAATCACTTTTTCGCACCAATTGAGGCAGAGTGGTTGTTCGTACGTTAGAAGTTTTCAACAAGTTACTCGAAATTAAATGCTTTTCTCTCAATTTCATGATGTCTTCGTAGCTTCTTTGGGACTCCATTAAGTCGGACCTTTCTCTCTGAATAGAGCGGATTTTGTGTTCCCAATTTTCCCTCGCGTTTCTTGGGTTAAAAAAATCATAAATTCCACCATGTTTGCTGTTCATGTCTTTACCAGACGTATTCACTGTCACGAAAGGTCGTGCTCCATGTGATATTTTGGGTAATTTGAGAAACACGGAATTTGGTTCCGCAGTTTCTCTTTTGAGGGTTTTTTGTTCCTTGACTATTTCCTTTTCGGGAAATTTCCGTCTTTTTAAAATGCTTTGTTCAATGATTGGTTTTCCTCGCGTTATTGCAAGTCTGTGAGACAAGGTGCACCTAAATGGTGTTGAAGTGACATCTTCACAGCAATTTAAGCGACGTTGCAGTCTTCTCTCGTAAGGAATTCCACTTTGCTTGGACTGAGACTGTAATGAAGCTTTTCCTTGCGTTTTATGTTCTTTCGGATTTTCCATATAACAACTTCTATATCACTTTTTATGTGCGATTCTTATATGGTGAATATTCAACTTTACTTGTCCTGGTGAGCAAATGTCTAGTCGGTTGTCTTGTGTATTCTTGAAGAAGCGAGTCCAAGCAGATGTCCTTTGAAAAACATCAACATATCTAAAAATATAACAAAGCCACAGACACAAAAGCGTGTGGAAAAATCACTATTTAAACGTCCCAAACATGGTGATTTAATCGCGAGAGGTTCTCAAGTTGAACTTAAAATGGACATCCAATGATAGCACCAGTTACTTGAAGAACTTGAAATCCATTGGTTTTCTTGTCGATAAAGACGTCCTGTTTGATTGAAACCACTTTATCTAGGAATAAACTGTGTTTGCTTATGTCTAAATGGATTTGTCCGCGACGATAATGATAGCTAACACTCAATTCTCAACCCAGTTATTGTATAGTTAACCTTTTGGCCGTTTCTAGGGATATTGGTCGACACAAATAACGCCAGAACCTGTATATGCTATATACAAACACCAAGAGTGACAAAAAGCTGCTAATGCCCTTGACACTGATCAATGGAACACCTTATTCGCACTTAATGCGTCACGATAAATCTTTGAAAGATTTAGAGGCTTTAAATGATAACGTAACTCAGTTAAATTATGCAAAAGCTTTTGTTCGCTTAAATAATTATCTTTACACAATCACAATAGCCGAAGCCTAAATGTAAGTCTTTTAATTGAATATTTATTCATCCTAAAACGTATGTGTGCAGACTTATAATAACAGCGCTTATTGGAGTTGCTCATTTGTATTTACGAAATTACTTTAACATGCTTGTGAATGTATAGTATCATGTAAAAAAAATGAAATTCTGCACTCCCAATGCGAAAATACACAGCGTTTATAATGGCTTGTTGCTAGGAAACAATGGATTTTGTAACGCACGATTTCATTTGCTGCGCTCTAGTTGGTTGTTAAACGGGCTAAAGAGAACTGATAGAAGGCTTTTCTTATATCGATCTACTCTAATTATCTTAATACAATACAGTTTTGTCAATTGATTTGATACATCAGACAATTTTTTCTATCATACTCATTTCTGGTTTTCCTTGGTATCAAAGCTTTATATTTTTCTTTGATGCTGTTTGTTTTGCTTTGTCCTCATTTGCACGGCCTCCATTCGTTGATACATTCGGATCAACTGTCCATCTCTCCAACACCATCCTCGGGAATCCTAGTAACAATGAACAGAAGATTAGCCCCTTGGTTCTCGAGCCGATTTCACAACTCATTTTTGACTCATTATGTAACCATTTGTGGACAATCCTCTTATTATTCAGTTCGCATTGGTTCATGCATCATTTTTATTTGTTTTCTTTTGTACAGAAAAGTATTATAAAAACATTAATCAAAAATGTTTGATAAAAWGTGTGTACTTTATGCAATTACCAATTTCATTTTCTAATCAACAATTAGCCTGAGCGCAACAAAGACCGTGTGTGCGCGTGCACAAAAATAAAAAAAAAAAAAACGACGCAAACTTGCCTTTGTGGTGCGTCAGAGCATTTCCTCAAAAAATGTCAGTTGCATACAAGCCTAAGATTAAAATATGGAGCGAAAGTCTTCAGGAGATAAAAGAGGCACTTTCAAGACTTAAGGACCGACCACCTATCATCATACCGTATGGTTTGCAGCTTGAAAATCATCTATGGAACGCTGAACCGGTTCGTCTTTCGCTGCACGTTTGTCAAGGATCTACTGGGGACAACTTTGTGACTCACCAAGGTGTTGGCAAAAACAATAAGATTAACATGTGGACAATGAAAAAGAACAAGATTTTGAACGCTTATAAGACATCGTTGCGGACAATCAACACTCCGTATAAGTTTGACCACATGATATTTATACCAAAAAGATGGGTATACGTCACGCATTCTACTCATGATTTAGCTCTTCAGGTTTTTAGCTCTAAATTTATGCTTATCTCAACYGCGTTTACTGGACGCACTGTGTTATCATTAGAATACAACAGYAAAAGAGATGAGATTCTWACTGGAATAACTGGRGGTGTSCTAATTTGGCATTTTCCTGTWAAACAAACKGACCCACTAGTACCCGGKCAGGTTMTCAATTGTTCGTTCACGGAATTGGAGTGGACAAAGATTTTACACATCGATCGAACGTTTAATCAATTGATTGTGATTTCGAATGAAAAGATCGCTGTGTTGAGCACTGATGATTATCAATGCCAGGTGTCGTTTACTAAAAACTTTGACGTCGCATTTACCGCGTGCGCTCTGTATAATATCTACAAGTACTTTGTCACTGGGGACAAGAATGGATCGATAAAAGTATGGAGTACAACATTGACAAGTCTACCACTGGTTACGCAATTCTTAGGTATGATGGATTACGGGAGAGGATGGCATGAGTCAAGCAATGAAAACATTGCCATATGTGGCTGCTTCATGCCATTCCTTACCGACTTAACTAAATTGAAGAGCTTTTCTATTATGCTCGCCTCTAAAAGTCTGAAACATTATATGACCCTGTCCTGTTCAAAAGCGTTGCGAAAAACGTTAATGGAAAATGGCACTGCAGTGTAGAGGATGTTGTTGTTGCTAGTACAGCAATTAGAGCAACATTATAAAAAATATTGCCAGGACTTGAATTATGTTGAGGTATTGATGTGAAAGGCGGCTTTACGAGGTTTTGAAACGGACAGCAAAAAACAGAACTAAGCTCTAAGCTCTAAGCGCTATGCGCAATAACAGCTATAAAATAAACGGCATCTGCTATTGTACTGCAGTGCATTATACAGCCACTTGTAACAAGTGATGAAATGGTAAGAAAAGTTATTGGAAAACTTGAGTAGAACAGTCACTTTCAGAAGCACGGCGCAACATAAAGTCATCAAGGTCAATATGTATATTTCTGTTAACATATTAAATTTCTTACCTCTAGGTCACTGTGATGCAATCACATGTCTTGTCATTCACAATGAAGAACCTTTGCTCATATCTGGCTCCATGGACAAGACTCTYCGCATTTGGAACTTTGACACGTTTACTCAAACCTTCTGCCTTCAAACTGGTGAAGAAATCTTAAAAATGGGACTCGTAAACTCACAGCAAATCTACTATCAGTCRAAAAACAGCATCAAAGTCTGGCATATGAATCTTTTCCATACACTTTTCACAACKCTGAGCTCAAAGATCACTAAATTTAAGAGAGTAATAAGTCCGGAGTTTCCGACCAGGATTCTTGTGTATGCGGTCGATGGTGGTGTGCGGTTGATATCCCCAGCGCATGCGTATGAGCTTACCGCAATGCTGCCAATCACAACACTCAATAGCAAGATGTTGGATGTTTGTCATGATAGACGAAAAGAGAAACTGTATGCCGTGCTTGGGAACAGAAATGTTCTGGTTTTTGATAGTCATACAAACCCTTGTTGGTGAGTACTGCAAACCTGTATATACACCTCTTTCATTTTCCAATGCCTAATATGGCTGTTTATAACCAAATATGGTATTAAAGTTTGAATATTTTGGAGCCTCCATATTTTTTTCTTTCAGTGCCTCGCAGTTGTGGCAGTCAGAATGCCCGGATGAGGGGGTGTGCAGCATTGCTCTCATCAATGCAGAATTTGCCTTGGACGAGGACGATTTGGAACTGAAATGCGGTCTTCTTTTTGCTGGTCTTTATAACGGACAAATTACATTGTTGGATGGACTTGGTATGACTTGATATCTAGTTTTAGTTCCTGTTACGTCAAATTAAATTCGACAGGAATCGCAATAAACTAATCCCACCTAATTGATTAATAAGTCGTTCCGTTTGAGTTTACATCGAGAAAGCTTATATTGGACTGATATCAATGGTTCTTCCCCCTTATGACCGATATATTCACATAGAATCGCTATAGTCGTGCTGTTTTACAAACAACAAGCATACACTCTACTCAGTATAGAAATAAAGGAAAGGTATAGTGATTAGAAGGAGTTATTCCGGGAGAAAGACCCTTGGAAATACATTCGGAAAAAATAAGCACTATAGCTTTCCTTTATTTTTATATCATGTATCTCATAGTGCCATGCGGTCCTCATATTTATAACTCTACTCAGTGGTTTGCTGCCATCTTACTAAGGGTCTTTAACGAAGGATGTCAAATTCCCTCTTAAGGAGCTTCCTTCTCCAAACCTTTACTGAAAAACTCACATTTTAATAGTCTTATCAATACCATCATGCCCTTCGCCAACAACGTGACGTCATAAGGGGAAGGGCCATTCCAGCTATGGAACCAACAGGAAGTCCAAGCAATCAATAAACACATCTTTTCCCACAACAGACGTCCAAATGGAGCACAACATACAAGCCCACCAAGGTCAAGTAATTCAGCTCTGCACATCCTACCAAAATTCCAAATCACGTGATATTCTAGGATCACGTGATCGCCTCGTGTCTCTTGGCACTGATAACGTCATACGCATATGGAAAATATGTCACGTGACAGAGAGGACCATTCAGATTGAACCAATGTCTGACGTACGTTTGATGACTTTGCCTTGTGAGATTGGTATGATTGGTAACACACTGTGTATGGTGATGAGCGACAGTAAGGTTGTCATGTGCAGGTATGATTGGCATAACCTTCGAAAGACGTCATTTCCGGTTAACGTCACTTCCCGTTATAGGTATTATTTGACCCGTGCAGTAGAAAATGTAGAAATGTCCGCACTGAAAATACTTTCATCACTCTTCCGATGTTTCGAGAAGTTTTAACACTATTTAAGTATATTGAATGCCCTATAGCAAAACGYCTATTTACACTTAAATTACAGACCAAGACCTGGTCATTCTTCATTTTTGTCTGTCTGTCTGTTTTTAGTGTTACTGTCAAACCTGCAAAGATGTACTCCAAGGAAAATCACTTTGAATTTCTGCTTCATTCTAAAGACGAAAGTCACACCAAGCCAATTAATGGGGTAAAAATCACTTTACATTTTACTTCAGCAAACTTGGAGCTACCTTGATACAACTAAAATTAATCTGCTCTGAATACATTCTTACCAGTTTATCTTTTTTTAGTTGTCATGTTGCCCGCCTCTACAACTAYTCGCAACATCAAGCGAAGACCAAAGCGTCAAAATTTGGAACCAAAACAACCAACTGGTCCGCGAACTCACGTTCGACGAGACCTTATGCGGAGTTTGCTTTGCAACTGCACGAGGGGACCTATTGGTGGGGTTTCAGAGCCACATCAGTTTAGTGCCCCTTATYAAGTATTTACCAGGTCAATATTTAGAGATGTTGTCCARGATGGACTTTGATAATGAGCTGACGGAGAGGCACGTGCTTTTTGACGACCATTTAAAATTCTGGTACGATCCCTTGATGGTGCCCACTCTTCCTTTGGAAYTGAGGCAACGTCGACCAATGTTGCCTRCTGAAACTCCTCCCTGTCCTTTTGAAGAGGTAGGGGCTCGATTTATGAAAGGTTCATTAGATATTCTAATGCGAGGAATCGGTGTAACCACACCTGTATCAGGAAGGGCGTTATTTTTTAGAGTAGGTGCTACAGAGCTTTATGAAATTTTGTATCTGGAGATGATCAAAATTATCTTCAGGTATATGAAAGGTAGCGTCCGTCATGAACGGATCAGTTTTWAAGTCTTTAAAGRACATCTCAATTGATTCTGGACGTGTGCGCAGTTATTAAAAAATGACATCAAGTTAATAGTTTTTTTAATGTGGTGTCCTTCAGGAAATTGATTCCGATCTTGAGGAAAACACGGAGCCCGAAATAGAAGAAGATGGTCTCAACTGGCTCAGACAAGCGTCACGTCGTGTATCAATCAGTTCGCGCATGACATTAGCGTCACGGATTTCTCTTGCGTCACGCCTTGATGATAGAGGRAAGTCCATGMTGGGAGCTGTTGTTAGCAGTTTGATGGAAGCCATTGGCAAACAGAGTGAAGATAAGCTGGGAAGCATCGTGAGTAACTAATATCACCATGTCTGGCTAAATGGTACTGCACAAAAAGACTGAGTATACCCGCAGCCGTTTTAGCCTGATTTCCAGATGGGCCTGGATCAGTTGCTAACGAATTTCTCCCAAAACTCCKTCTAATGGACATCGCTACACTATCCTTGGTTTTGCAAACGGCCAATGAAGATACTTGTGAGAACTAAAAGACATAAAATATYAGCGAATCTACTTTAGTGGTGATTTGGTTATTTTGCCTCTTGATGCACACCTGATATACTTTAAGTCTTGGAAAACAGAACATTCGCGCTTTTTGCTCAAAAAATCAGCTAAAAATAGTGAACACGGCTAGAACCAATGTCCATTAGACAGCGTTAATGAAATTATAGTTATTCCAAAGTTCTTCCACATCTAATAACTCAGAATTKTGTCTGATTTTTAGAGCTCAATACAGAAATTAGTKTCTCAGGAAGAAGACGAACTGGCCAAATATCGTGAATGGATTCGTACTCGAGCTGAGCAAAAGGCACTTTGTCGTCCACCACATTTCTGGCCTGTTGCTCCCGACGGTTTCATCCCAAACTCTGTCATAAGAAGAATTGTCAGAATGAAGCCAGTCCCTAAACACATGATTGCACGAATTGTTCGGCCAATAAAACCGAAGAAGGAGGTAAAAGCGAAAAAAGTAGAGGTTGAATCGGAATCGGAAGACTCCTCATCYGAGGAGTCCTGGGATTGGAACTGGGATCCCATTGAGTCAAAAAAGAAAAGTAAGTGTAGGGCAACTTAGGCAGATTAGATCTCAGGGATCCGGT